TCTATTATTTTAGTATAAATAATAAGTGAAGGGAGCGGCCAGATCATGGCTCTCTTTTCTTTTCAACTTCTCTTCTTCTCCTTTTCTCTTCAAGAAACTACTTTCTTTCATATTTTTTAATTCAGCAGATTCCTACTAATTTAGATATGGTTGTTAACCTGAAATTTGGAAACAGCTTATCAGTATGTGCCCGGGGTAAGGCTGCATACATCTGCCTCTCCCCAGACCCCACATTGGCATGAGCCTTGTGCATTGGGCTGCCCTTATGTTAACTTGAAATGAAATTTTTTTTCTATGCAGTCTCTTTTCTTTTGGTGGCACAACCATAGGTACCAAAAGAAGGTAAACAGTAACGTAGCCAGCCATCCATTACATGGAATGAGGGAAGATCTCCTCTGTCTGTTACATCCATTTATAGCTAGAGAATGAAGGTTTATAGGGTCGAAGAAATAGAAAAAAGAAAAAATCTAATAAAAAGGATGCTTTCTCTCATATTCTATTGTTTTAGAAAATTTTTGGGCTTAAAGTCAATCTAGGGAAGAGTTATTTACTGGGATTAACTTAGAGGCTCAAGAAGTGTGTGAGTATTCCAGTGTGTTGGGTTTTAAGTTGTTATCTTGGCCCACCTTTAGAGGAAACCCAAGGGCATTAGATTTTTGGAACTTTGTACCAGATTGCCTTGCTAAAAAACTGCCAACTTGGAAGAAAAATTACATCTCTAGGTGGTCTAATTACACTTATGTCTTGTCCATGTTACCTTTCAAACTTCCCAGTCTTACAGGGTGTCTAGGAGATACCATCAATCGACCCACATGTAACTACTATTTCTCTCTACAGGCTTGTCAGAGATGAAGGCATGGTCAGTGTCCTGACTACCTTTCCTGCATTGTAAGGTTAAGTCATTTTTAAGATTACTTTGTCATGCAAAGTTGATGCATGTATTTCGTAGACATTAGAAAATGTTGTCATTTTGTGAATCTCATATTCATTAACCATCATTATACCAGATTATGATCTCAACTTACTGGTGATACAGCTGATTTCTACATGTGATCCATCATCTATATGATGATGTCATAGTTTGTAAAATGACTATATTATTTAGGCTTCTCCAACTTAATGCAAATTTTTTGTAATACATAGTTATATCTGCTGCCATTTTTTAACTGTAACATTTTAAATAATGAACAACTAACAACTTCTCTTGTGAAAAAAAGAAAGATTTGCATGCAGTGTCTGCTGTGCGGAAACCTGATCAAATTCTGGCACAAAGTTCAGAACTATGTTTGGGGGCCTCAGGAGGATATCCATCAGTCATGAATTTTTCAAACCAATTCCGTGACAATAACTTTGCCAGATCTGCACTCCCTGTTGATACTAATCAAATGGGGATGGTGAGAAGCAACTATGTTTCGACACCTTATTTTTCAGGGAATTCTGGTAAACTGACAATTCTATTTGATTATACTTTTTTTATTGATTCTCCTACAGCCCTGTGTCTTTTCTGTTTGAGGATGTAACTGGAGAGTGTGTTTTCTAGGAATGACATTCTAATTACCACCAAACTAGGAACTTGCCATTGAAATGTTAGTTTATGGTCACTCGTGTTAATTAATATATTGGAACTCAACCTCCTAATTCTCTTCCATGGTAACAGGGAATAATAATTTATCATTGAAGTTATTCCTAGAAGCATGATGAGAATGAGTTTCTCATTTTGCAGGTAGACCTCTGGGGACTATGCAGAAGCCTAAAGGAAGTGTTTCTGTCATATAAGTTGGAATTTTTGGAAATTGCCATTTTCTTTGTAAGGGTGAAAGGTGATTTAACATTCCCAGTTTGTTAGGGGCTTGCTTTTGTCATTTTGGCATTTCATCTTTTCTAACCTTTTAAGCCATATTCTTGTCACATTGAAATTGTGAAACAGGATTTTTCTAGCTGGACTACTCATTTATTTGATGAAAATAAGTCGAGCTTCTTTAGTAATGGTAAGCCTTGGAGTATTTCGATTCATCCTTGGAACAAATGGCGGGAAAACCATATGCATTGATGTAGGAATTATGGTAAAGTTCAGAAAGAAGAAAACTATTTGTCCTCAATTAGGTTGGAGCTTCAGTAAAGCCAAGTAGTTCCTAAAAATTTGATGATTCGCCATCTCTTCTAAGTTCTACCTGCTCCTTTTTCTTTGATTATCGGTTCACTTGTTTCTTCAAGCTTCCTTCTTTGGCATGAAGAAATATACGATCTCAACCAAATATAATCAGAGGTTAGTATTTTCTGAATGATCAATTGAATATTTAAAAAAAAAAAAAAAAAAAAACAAAAATCCCAACTGTTAACTGTATGTAGATCTATTTTCCTGTCGAAACTAACCATTGTACTTAACAATCACGATTTTCTGCTTCCACTCTTAGAGGGCGCGGCTAACTTGTATGGAGTCCTTACATTTAGGTGGCATTTGGTTAGCCTTACCTTGCACATACAGAGTCTGTGTGTGTATGTACTTTTTACTGGGTGTAATTTACTTGATTTCAGCCACCCACTGGGGTGCGCCATGTGGGCAGCTGATCCCCTCTCATAAAAAGGTTAATTTTTCTGTGTTCGAACCAAACACCCCCCTCTCATAAGGGGCTTGGATCTCCTGCAATGTCTTTTTTTGTTTTTCTTATTTTTACTCCTTGTCTCCTAAGCTTTTCTTCTGGCACTTCCATTCCGTCTGAAAAGTGCTGAGATACGTGGTGTTCATATGAACATACATCATGGAACACCTGTAGAAGATGAATTGCAGTCTTGAATTTTTTTGTAATACATTCAGGTTCTAAGCCCTACCCCACCTGTAGAAGCTGAATTGCAATCGGACTGGGTTCGGACAACCTTAGGGCTGGGCTCAAGATTTTGGGCCCAAGCCCCCCAGTCGAGGATTAAAAATCCAAGCCCAACCTTGTATAAAATTACGGGCTGGGTTGATGTAGGCTCAGGTTATGACTGCCCAAATTACACCCCTACAGGCTACAATTGAGGGATGATAAATTTGAGGGTCCACAGTCCAAACTAATCAACCATTGAAAAATAAAACTAAAAGATATATGAGTGTAAAACTCCCAATGAAAATAAACAGAAAAAAAAAAGCATACGAGTATTCAATTTATGAGTGATACTTAAAATTATATATAGAGTAAATGGACGTAAACAATTTCACAACTTAAATATAAAGTGTATAAATTGCATAGTTTTACGAAAGAAAAAAAAAATCAAGATCATATATAAAACATATGCATGGATTTGAAATAATAAATGAAATAAACTGTTATTTAAGTTAGTAAATTACCTTTTCCATACCTTATTTATATCAAAGTAAAACGTATGGTGCATCCACTGCACGGTGCAGCAAAAGAAAGACATGATTGGTTGAATCGATGCTAAGTACACATTGTTAAATGTAAAAGTACATTTTATGAAATATAAATCAATAAAAAATAAGTATACTTCAATGCTATTATTTGAGTTAGGTTTAACACGCAACCAATATTAATGAATGCACTGTAGTTGAACTCAAGTATCAATTTATAGTTGAACTCTTAAATCAATTTGGGCATAGAATTATTGATGTGTTTATAGGGCTTGTGTGAGTTTTCCTAGTGTAATGTTCTCTCGTTTCTTTATTATTGTTATTATTATTTTGTTCTGGGAAGGAGTAGAGTTTGCTTTAGCTTGACAATCTTGGGATGAAAGAAGAAGATAAAGGAAAAGGGAAGAGATGCTACCTGCCTAACAAAACACCAAACATGAGGCCCACTGATTGAAAATGTAGAGATGGGTTATTGAAGTTGAGGTTATAGCTTTTTCTTAATGCGAAAGTAGTAGACGTCACTGCCTCTTAACTCTCTACACATGAAGAAGGAAAAACAATAAAATAAATGCATAAAGAAAAAGGAGAAAGAGAAAGCTGAGAGATCCATGGAGAAAGCCTCTTCTTCCGCTGCTTTCTCTTTTGTGTTTTCTCCAATCATATTTTTCTGTGTCATGGGTTGCAAAAAGAGAGAGGAGAAATCAGCTTTAAGTTGGGCCTAATTTCACATGCCTCTGTAACTCAAAAAAAATTCAATGTGAGTCAGTGATTCTGATTGAATTGCAGCCATTCAATCTCTCTCCCTTTTTTTATCTTTCTCTGTGCGTGAGGGATCATGTCGCTTTCCGTGGCCCTGTTATTGGGTCTCAGATTAGAGAAAAGAATATAAACTTTGGTCTATTTGGGAAAACATGAACTAGCCACATGCAGCTTCCTTGCCTGCAAATGGGATGAGGTTTTCTCATTGCAAGGAAGCTGCCATTGTTCCTGTCCCCCCCACTGCTTTGTACCCTTTTAATTAAAAAGGGCAAGGGGATTGGAAAAGCTTGGACTGTTTGATATTTTTTGTCATTAACATATTTGGGAGAGTGGAGAGAGAGATCCAATTATGTTGATTTAGACAGAGTGGACCCCCAACGGACTCATCCCTTGCTTTTAATCTTTTTCATGCTTTTAGGGGGACTGAAGCAATAAAAGTTTGAAGGGATAAAAATATTAGTGGTAGTAGTTATGAGTTATGACTTATGAGCACTCGCACATCTGATTTCCCTGGGTTTCACAAACCATGATTGATTGGGTCTGCTTCAGTTTCTTGCCACTTCATCCCTCCTCAATCATCAATCACTTTCCTTTCATGATTCCTTCCCCATCCTATTATTTTCTGATGAAATGAAAAGAAATGAAAAGGAGCCTCAGTAGTTTGTCTTTGGAGCAAAGAAAAATACCTGCTGTTTCTTTACTCTCTCTCTTTTGTGTTGGTCTTGTACTCTCTGCTCTGCTCTGCTAACTTTAAAAGAAAAAAAGAAAGGAAGATTAAAATGAGAAAAGGGGTTTTCATCAGAACTCATGAGGGGTTGTGATTGGTAAAGCCTTTCTGATACCATGTCTTTCCGGTATCATAGATTTTACCTTGTTGAATAGAGTTTAATAGCAGGACTAGTTTCAGTGAATTGGATTGGAATATTGGATTGACCCAAACCATTTATTATCATGGAGAATTCACATACCCCAAACTGATTTACTTGATACCAATCAAGTGGTGACTCAGTTGGTACATAATTGGGCAAGTCCCAGACGAGATGCGGTTTTGAGCCCCGCTACTAATGACTCCAAATTCACCTTAGAGAAGAATATTATATTGCAAAAAAAAAAAAAAACTGGTTTACTTAATTGACCATCCATCACTAGTGGAGTGAGGATGCCATTGTGACAATGTGAAAGAGCATACATCTATATTTTTATTTCAAAAATGCCCTTAACAGTTCTCATATATCACATGCACCCCAGACCCCATGATTTCTCTAGACGAAGCTATAACGTGGGGCGGGGTGGGGGATCTCAATTGTTGATATGAAGGGTATTTTTGAAATAAAGAAATCTTGAACCTAATGGAAGGGCAATTAATTAAATAAATTGTAAATTATAAGGGATAATTTAGTAATATACAAATTAGAGGGTAAGTTTTAGTAAATACACGAATCAATAGAGGTGTTCAAGCAAATAACCCTAAAATGATTTACATGGGCGGTGTTTGGATCAATGTCGTTTCTTGATAAGCATTTTCTTAGAAAATGGTTCTGCATAAGCATGTTGTTTGCTAAAAACATTTTCTGGTTTTCTATTTGGTATCATTGTTGTTGCTACCACATAGGCGTTTTTAAATGCCACATCAACACACCATTGATAACAAGAGTAGAAAAACGGGAAAACACCAAAAAGGGCATTTTTTGCAGACCACACCTTTTCCAATTTTCAAGGCATGGTCTAAGAAAACGTTTTTTGGAAAAAACTACTAACCGAATAGTAGTAAACAGTTTTCTGATGTGGAACCATTTTTTGAGGAAACGCATCGATCCCAAACACCTACACAGTTTGACCCAAGGTTTTCAAATTATCGTTGACATAGACGGTTAGACTGGTCTGCCCAAAAGTCTATAAAGGTACCAATTCCATTTCACCCCAAATTACTATTTTTAACCAAAAACTATGAAGTGTATGTTTGGCATGGCTTCCATTTATTAAATAAACATTTGTATTTGATTTATCTTCAAAACTGAGAAACAATACTTGATAAACATTTTGCCATAATTTGTTGACAACTAGGCGCCATTAGGCGCTACCTCAATGAAACAGCAAATAAACGCTTGACCATTGGGGGAAGCTTCAAAACCAAAAATTATCCATAATTATGCGTATGAAACCCTATGATTGGACAAATGCTGATTTGGCGATGATATGGCACCATTTATTTGATAAACGGAAGCCATACCAAACACCGCCTAAATTTACCTAAGCAACTATTTTTTGGTCCAACATGTATTATTTATTATTTTATTTTTAAAATGTTATAGGCTGATCCATTCAAAATGAATGGTCAAACCATGGTTTTGAAACCCTGGACCGGACAGTCGGACCGAAAACCTGAGAATCTGTTAGGTAATCGATTTCGTTTCACCCTAAAATCGCTTTTGGCCAAAAACTATTGATTTGATCAGCAATTTGCTGACTTGGGCAGTCAAACCATCAACCCGGATAATAGTTTTGCCATTTTTTTATTTTTTTCAAATCAGAACAGATCATGTATTCGAACTGGACGGTCAGACCATTTGACCCAAGAATCGGTCTCAAAAATAAGAATGGTTCTATGTCCGTTCTCGATTTTAAAAACATTGGGTCAAACCACTGACCCGAAAACCGGTGGCCATGTCGGTTTTTAAAAGATTGGTTTGGCGAGAGAGAGAGAGAGAAATGACATGATCAACTCGCTTCACGTGAGAAAGCGGAAAGGGAGGACCGTATGAATGAGCCGACGAGGGTATTAGGTTCCTTTGGCTTTCTTCTCGTTCACACAGGTCTCTCTGGGCCTTGCCAAATTACTAAAATATCCTCCTGTGTCAGGTTATTTATTAAAATACTTTATAGTTGGTGAGCATGTGATTCTAATGTGACTCGCTCTGGACTCTGGCTGGAGTCTGGAGTGTGGAGTGTGGACTGTGGACCTACCTCCTTTATTCACACGTGGGCTTCTGACCCATCAATCCATCATTGCCTTTATTTCTGAATGGGCTGTGGACCAGTGGCCCGATAACCCGACTGACCCAACACTTAAGTGGATCGGTTCCA